TAAATAAATAAATAAATAAATAAATAAATAAATAAATAAATAAATAAGAGGCAACAAGTTGAGAGGGGAAAGGCAGAGCGACGTGGACTGAAGCCAGGACGACGTCCTTTGGCAAGCTGTCGCAGCAGGAGGACACTAAAGAAAGCCCCCTGGTGGGTCCCCACAGGCCGCGCGTGCCCTGCTCCTACCCGGGGCCGGCCAGCGCGACGGCGCACATGCAGAGAAGGTGGGCAGCGCTCAGGAGCCTCCAGCCGCGCATCTCGGCGTCTGCCCGCGGGGTCCACTGCCCGCCAAGTGCGTGCCCTGCGGGGTGTGGCTGGCCACCTCCGGCCGGCCTTTTCCACCCCGCCCTGCCCCCCCCCCCTTCGCAGCACGGTTTAGCAATCTGAAATGGGCGCGCCTAAAAGCAGAGGGATCTAAATTGAGCCTTGATGGCTCCACCCATCCCGCTGCATCACAATGGCGCTTCTGGCTTCCCCCGGGCTAACGTCGCGGCGTCCCGTGGCGGAGAAAAAAGCGGTCTCTGCACGCGGTGGCCACAACCTGGCCCCACCTTCCCTGCTGCTCCCGGGGGAGAACAGAGGGCGCCCGCTTCCTCGGCCACCGGGAACCCGGGACTTGTTTACTCTAGCTCTCTACCAACGATGCCTGGAGTGAAAAAAAAAACAAAACAAAACAGGCCCATCCTTGTGAGCAGCAATTCCTAGCAGCTCTGTGAAGTGGAAAAAAAAAAAAAAAAAAAAAATCAATCATTGTCCTCCAGACGATGAGTCAAAAGTTTAGGAAAATGGCAAGCGCGCGCGTGCCTGGACACACACACACAGACACACCGGTGGGTATATAGTTATTTACTGCATAAGAGCAGAGGAAAACTTTTTTTTTTTCTTAAGACAAAAAAAAAAAAAAATTAAAGTATGCTTAGCTCTTTAAGAAAACGTTACGGCTTCTCTGATTTAAAAGAGGGTGCCTAGCCCTGGGTGTGACCCCAGCACCTAGTTTTTAATTTAAAAAAAAAAAAATAGACAAGGCGGAAGAAAAAAAAAAAAAACATTCTGGCACAAGCGAAAAGTTAGGTGATGCCCCTTGAAAGTCAGAAGCAACTGCTTGGGACGATGATTGTATCCTTAGCTATGGCGAAGCCCGTTTTCTGCAGAAGGTACTCATTAGAATGCTGAGTTTGTAACAATTTGTCACAGCGTAGTGCTGCGCTGGGCAGGAAGGTGGCCAGAGGCGCTGGTGCCCAGCAGTTCCTGAGCCCCAGTCTTTTGAACCCAGGTTTTCCGAAGCTGCTTCCCTGACACCCTATTTGGCACCATCTCTGCCTAGAGATGACTCAGGTTTCACCATGGCTACACCACAAAAGCAGTTTGGGGACTGCCAAAGACCAGGAAAACGGGCACATTCAGTACCTGACGACTTTCTCATTCCCAAAAGGAATTTTAGATGCTGATGGTCTAATTTGGGACAAAATGCAACTAGAGAAACATCGAACAAATAGCTGCGTGTGGGCACAGCTGTATGCTAAAAGTGGGGGGAGGGGAGGATGGCACCTGGACAAAGTGCCGGTTTGGGAGCATAGGAATTGCTTTCCTCCCTTTCCTGTCCCACCCTCGTTCACCCTGCCGAACGTCTGAAGACCTCGTCCCTTGTGTCCTGTTCTAAGGGCAGCCTATTGTTAGTGGTCATCTTCCTGTGCAAGCGAGACTGGGGTATGGTGGGAAGCGTCTGAATGTGCCCTGGGGGGCAGCTGGTTCTTGGCACAGCTGTTACTGCTAGACTGGTTTCCTCAGCTCCCGCATACAGGGAGGAAGAGCAGGTTCAAGTGTGGGCAACCAGCCAAGTTGTGGATTTGTGTTTGCCACACTCCAGTGTGTGTGAGAATCACCTCAAGATGTGGATGCTGACTCAGCAGCTCCCGAGTGGGGACTGCCGTTCTTCTTTCCACCCCCAGACGGCAGTCCACAGAGACTCTCCAGGTAGAGGCAATTAGGGACTACACTCTGATGAGCAAACAAAATTGGAATAACTGAATTGCTTCCCAAGATTTGCCTTCATAGTGGTGGACAAGTAATGCAGCGAGGAACTCCAAAAATATGAGCTGATAAAGTTGCATTCAAAGATTAGTAGAAAGGGTTAGAACCAATGGGTTAATCCCAACTGGGCAGACTTTCGGTTGCTGTAATCTCCAGGTTTATGTTTTCTTCCTCACAATACACTTTTGGTAACAGACTTAGCCTCGAGAATAGGTAGGCATTAGCCCTGTTACAAGAAAGAATAGACTCTACTCCAAGAAGGAGGAGAAGGAGGAAGAAGAAGAAGAAGAAAGAAGGAGGAGGAGGAGGAGGAGAAGATGATGATTAAGGCAGGGTGGTGGTGGTAGCGCACATCTTTAGTCCCAGCACTCTGGAGGCAGAGGCAGGCAGATTTCTTGAAGTTTGAGCCCAGCCTGGTCTACACAGTCAGCTCCAGGACAGCTAGGGTTATACACAGAGAAACCCTGTCTTGAAGGAGGAGAAAGAAAAAAAAAAGGAAAAGCTTCAGAGATTCAAAACCTTAGTGATAGCTGAAAAGGGCAAAAAGTAAATAAATAAACAGGTACATTTTAAAAGCCTGGCAAAGCCCCGGCTGCAATACTGTGGAGAGGCCCCGGCCCAAAGGCAAGGCACACAGCCCTGGTGAGAAAACTAACATTCTTAACTCAAGAAATGCCCACGGCCCTCAGGAGCCTCTAAGTCAGTTGTAGTTTTCCATGAGCCATGATTCCCACAGCAGTTAGACCAGGAGAACAGAGGAAACTTCGATGCATTGCTGTAGACCCAAACCCTGAAGAGTACCCCTGTAGCATGGTGATTAACATTTGGCCAATCTCGAAAGCAAGGAAACAGGCCCTCCACCTGTGCCAAACTCAGTGTTGTGGTGGAGTGCCACAGTCCCAACACACCCGGAAGAAAACTCCCAGCAATAACATTAGCTACTGAGGGCGTATGGCTGGAGGATGGGAGGACAGGATGGCTCACAGGCTGCAAAGCCAGAGAGAGCCCTGATTCATAGATGGGAAACTATTAAAGTGAAGGCGGCTCTTACAGACATTGGGCACTTGTCCAATACAGACTCAACAGCAGCATAAGCCATAGGAAAGACAAGCATCCACAGATTCATCTACCCCCCCCCCCGCCATATAACACCATCTCTCGTTCTGGGGACCAGACACAAGCTGTCCAGCTCTGCACGTTTCCTGTTTGCCCCGCCCCCCTTTCTGTTACTGCCCTCTTAGCACTGCTCTCATTTTATTACATTTAAAAATCTATGTATTGTGCTTTGTTATTGATCATACATTTATTTATGGGGTGTGTACACATTTTTCTCATTACTGGGCAACTTCTTTCTTTTTTTATTCTTCCTTTATTTCTTCTTTGTCACATTTTTTTTCCTTTCTACTTTGACCTTATGTCATTGTTTTAAAATACCCTCTCAACTGGGCAGGGTAGCTCAGGCCTTTAATCTCAGCACTTGGGAGGCAGAGGCAGGGGGATCTCTGTGAGTTCTAGGCTACCCTGGCCTACAGAGTGAGTTCTAGGACAGCCAGGGCTACATAGAGAAACTCCGTCTCAAAAGAAAAATCTCTCATTTCTATTATTTCCTTACATTTATTCAATTTTTCTTTCAAATCTCTGAGAAACTGTGGGATTTTTTTTCTTTTCTTTGATTGTTCTTTTATAATATTCTTCTACATTCCTCTTCATTTACCTTTTATTTATTTAACTTCTCCATTTTCCCTTTCACCTGTCTCCTTCTTATATATCATTAACAATTTCCACATTTTCCCTAAATAATGTTTAACTTTGTAACACATTCTATCTTAATTTTGCAGTTTTGCTTTTTATTTCACGAATGGTGGTAATATACTGAAACCAATTTTTTAAAAAGATCTTTATTATGTATACAGATTCTGCCTGCATGGATGCCTACAGGCCAGAAGGGAGCACCAGATCTCATTATAGATGATTGTGACCCACCATGTGGTTGCTAGGAATTGAACTCAGGACCTCTGAAAGAACAACCAGTGCTCTTAACCTCTGAGCCATCTCTCCAGCTCGAAAGTTTTTTAATTATTTATTTATTTTCATTTTATGTGCATTTGTGTTATGCCTGCATGCATAGCTGTGTGAGGGCATGAGATCTTGGAGTTACAGACAGTTGTGAGCTGCCATGTGGGTGCTGGAAATTGAAGCCAGGTCCGTTGGAAGAGCAATCTCTGAGCAACCTCTGAGCCATATCTCCAGCCCCGGTTTTAACCAACTTTAAGTGTATTTCTGTATGTTTCTATCTTGGACAATTTGATGTTGTCACTGTTAAAACAATTCGTTTTCTCCTTTCTGGGTTGCACTGGAGATTAAGCTGCCAAAAGGGTGCTGTCCAATAAGAATACAAATACAAATCCACACAGGAGCTCTAAACCAACGGACGTTCAAATCACAGTGCAGGGATGCAATGAACATAAACGAACGAGGCAACGTGGTTCCTCCAAGTGACCTCCGAGAAGTCAGCTGGGGTGTAACGGTTGGTATGAAAAATCCCCCGTCTCGGCTACGTGGACAAGTCCCCGGTTGGCGGTGGTGTTTGGGAAGGCGGTGCAGACTTGCGGCAGGAAGCGGGTCTCCAGGGCAGGCTTTGCGAGTGCAGTCACGCCTGCCGCTTGTTGCCGCACCTCCCTGCCACAACGGTCTCTTCTCTGCCTGGAACCATAAGCCAGAACCAACAACTCTTCCAAAGGTGATTTAGTCGTGGTAGGAGAGAACCGACGCCCTTAAATTGTCCCCTGACCTCTACCCATGTGCCATGACACCTGTGCTTGTGTGCGCTTACACCCGCAATAAAGAAATAGAATTTTGTGAAAAAAAAAAATTTTAATTACTTCAAAGAGGATACAAACAAGCAAATGAATCAAGTAAAAAAAAAAATTGTAAGTAAGCAACGACATACAGGAAAAGGTAAAAAAAAGGTCAGAAATTCAGCAATATTGATGAAGTCAGCAACAGGTAAGGAACACCCAGCAAGGAAAATAAGATGGCGGGGGGGGGGGGGGGGGGGGGGGGGAGGGAACTAAGAAATTTTTTCCCTGAATGAATCTAGTTTTTAATAAGAAAAAGAAAAGACAGGATATTAAATGATGTTTTCATTGTCTCAGATATGGTTAATTTTTAAAGGTCTTTTGCCTTTCATAAATGCATAGTGAAAATAACTCCAGGCTTATTGGCTATTAAAAATAGCC